ATGACGTTCTGCCGTGCCCTGCTGCCGCTGGTCTCCAACTCAACATGAAAAAATGCCGTTCCGCCACAAAAGCTATCAAGGTTTTGGGCCACAACGTGACCAAAGGCATAATTCGGCTAGATTCGGACAAAATTGCTGCGGTGCTTCGCTTTTCGTTGCCCGAAAGGCCGAAGGAGTTGCGAAGTTTTCTTTGTCTCGCCTCCTATTTTCGCCGTTTTATCAGAACTTCGCATCAATAGCGGCTCCACTGCTCCAGCTTCTTGCTTAAGACGTGCCCTTTCTGTGGTCGGAAAAATGTAAAACGGCATTCGACCTGTTAAAATGTACCCTCACGTCCGAACCTGTACTCCACCACTGTGATGAGGCCGCACGAACCATCCTACATGCGAACGCTAGCGGCCGCGGTATAGGTGCCCTTCTGCTTTAACGTGACACCTCTTCACAAGATAGAGTAGTTGCATATGCCAGTAGTGTACTAACCGCGACCGAGAAGAACTATAACATAACTGAGCAAGAGTGTTTGGCTGTGGTATGGTCAGTGCAAAAGTTCCGTTCCTATCTTCACGGCCATCATTTCACGAGTGTTACGAACCACTACGCCTATGCTGGCTTTCCACGTTGAAGAACTTGTCTGGACTCGGGTCGGTGGATTGTAGGTTTACAGGAGTATGACTTCGATATCATTTACAAGTCAGGTAGAAAACACCAAGACGCCGACGCTCTTTCGCGCTGCCCGCTACCAAAAACCGCGCTCAGCATCGGTCAAATTTTGGCCATCACTTTTACTGCAGCACCCGCGCTTGCCTCAATAGACCAGCTATTCTCGGACGACAAGCGCAAACTTCTCTCCTGCCAGTTTTCTGATCCGCACTGTAGGCGTAGTATGGACCAGCTCTCAGGAGCTTCCCGTCCACCTAACACGCGGAATCGTTGTCAACTCTTGCGATTCAAGCTGAAGAATTGAGCTCTGTACCATCGCATCTACCACACTGACAGTTAACGATGGGTTCCCGTGTTACCACGGTCTCTTCGACTTTACGTGCTTAAAGCCTTCCGCGATGACTTGACTGCCGGACATCTTGGTATTCAAAAAACTTACGACCGCATTCTAAGTCGCTTTTAGTGGCTTGGTATTTCTACTATTATCGCGTGCTACGTTAGTTCCCGTGTCCCGTACCAGCGTCGTAAAATACAGACGACTGCACCGGCCAGACCTCTGCAGTGAAATACGTGCCCCACAGCGCCATTTGAGGTTGTAGGTATCGATCTTTACGGCCGTATTCCCATCACATCTACTGAAAAACGATGGATAGTGAGCACCGTAAACCACTTAACACGCTACGCGGAGACAACGTCTGTATCAACTGCCTCTGCTTCGGAAGTTGCCGACTTCGTTCTTCATGCCATCATTCTGCGCCATGGCGCCCCTCGTATATTGTTGAGTGACCGTGGAAGGGTGTTCTTGTCAGAAGTGCTAAATGAAGTATTGCGCACCTCTGGAATAACACGAAGGACAGCTTCAAGCTACCACCCTCAGACCGAGAGGTTTCACCGTACTCTTGCTGATATGATAGCCGTCTACATTAGTCCAGATCACAAAAACTGGGATACTCTCCACCAACTCCTCACCTTTGCCTACAACACGGCCGTTCAGCGCAACACCGGTTATTCGCCGTTCTACCTCGTTTATAGATGTTCCCATACTTTCATCCTCGACGTTTCTTCTATTTAACAGTGACGTCTACTCGTCTTAGTATTCCAGCGAAGAATACACTTCAAGACTAGCCCGGTGTCACGATCGGGCTCGCATCAACACAGAAGCACGACAGCAAGACCGAAAAGTTGTTTACGACGCATCCCATCGCCTTGTATTCTTCCAACCTGCTGACGAGGTCTCCTGTTCACACCTATTCGTACACCTTGTCTGTGTGACAAGTTTCAGCCACAGTGCATTGGGTCTTACATAGGTATAGAACAGGCTTCGTCCGCTAATTATCGTGTGACCCCACTTGTCGTCCCAACAGACCGCCGTCACCGCACCACAGGGATCATGCACGTGTCTCGCATGAAGCCCTTCAGGCAATCTGCCACATTGACTTGCTACGGCCAGGTTGGCCGCTCTGATGTGGGGGAATTAGTGTGGGCATTCGTTATGCGCTTCTTCTCATATATGCATTATCATAATCATCATCATCCATCTGGGTCCCTGTCCTCATTTTCACTGGGTGTCACCACAGTCATCATTGGGCATGTGCGTGCTCGGTCTCAGACTGCCCGTTCACTGCTGAGCCGCTGAATAAACGCTGTCTCAACCCACACGTCAGTATATGTACGATATTGATTGAAAATGAATCGCTTGCTACGCACAAAAAGACACTAATGAGATTGCCAAGTGAATCAAGTCTCTGAGAAATTAGTGCATGCCATGCTACTAATGTGTGATTTTTCTTCATTTTTGTGATTCTACCTGACATGCCCTTCCCTTGAATTGGTGTTCTTAAAACAGCTATAATAAGGTGCTCTTTTAATAGTAATGTACAAGTGCTAATTCTGCGCCATGTTTAATACGCACGCATTATCGTTTTTGTAGTTATTTTTTGTGGTAATGACGTCCATACTTTCTTTTGTTACTAAGATTGCTAAATATCGTGTTCTTCGAATAGTAATGTATGCTGTTCATCACGTATGATTTTGTGCAAAAAGTATTGTGTTTTTCTCTGTTTTCTATGCTATAATCTCTAATTTGCAGAGTTGCTAAATAAATAAATATAAATAAGACACGCCAGAAGGCTTTCAAACTAATCACAAAAACAATTTGAAACCCATATTAGTGTGATTGCTTCGCGTCTCGTACAAACGAAGAGGGATGCAGCCATACTTATAAGGAATACGACTGCGTAATGTAGGCTCTTTCATTAGTTAGGTACGTTGCTACATGTTTTTGTCAAGTAGGAGTTATGTACGTTAAAACGTATTTGTCTTGTTTTGAATAGTGTTTGAACAACGCCCCAGAGGATCAGCACGCTACGATAAAGCTCATCTTGTAAAACGGGTAAGCCCCAGACGTATCATTTATCAACTTGCCACTGTTGTTAAAAGCAAGCATTAAATTTTGTTGGAGGCGCGTGATGTGCTCACGAAACTGAATAGCATCTTCACGAGCGCTCGATCTGAAGTGTTCAAGTGTGAAAACGCGTTGCTCTTAAGGGGCAGTATAGGGGAAAGCGAATTTTGGTTGCATTATTAAATTACCTTCTCACAATTGCAAGATAATGGCGTTTGCCACGATAGGGCACTTGATAAGCGAGAAGATGCGGGAAAAAAATGCAGGCGGCGCCGCCGCCACGGGTTTGCCTCATTGATTTTGACAGCGTTTACTGAAATGGCTAAAAGGATGCGCGTTGCCATCTGAGAGGTCCGCCGGCTTGACGTACGATGGTCGAAGAAATTTCGCTGAGCCAATGCTTTTGAAGCTCGGTTGCTATTGCACCAGCCACTATCCACGTAGGCTATTGGTCCTAATAGTTTGTACGCCATTTTTGTACTTACGTGACGATAAATTCGTTTTTGAGTTTACGCCACACCTGTAATACAAAAATATTTATCTTGAAATATAGGCAGCTGTCTTTCCTAGTGGAGTACTGATGCATTATATTGTCACTAAAATCGAATAAACAGGAAAACAGAGACTGTTGGAAGCTACACCAGTGTGTCTGCTAAATTACCAATTGCTCGTCAAGAAGAAATCTTTCTCAACGAAGTCAAGGCCAACACTGCGTACACATCGCGCAAAAAATGTCAGCAAGCTAACCTACCTTCGACACACAATAATAGCGATGCACACACGGTCGGACGCTGTGCCGAGCCGATTAGGAACCCCTGATTTGGACGTGCACAGCACTTCGAAAAGGCCGATGGCACATTCGACATCCGCTGCGCCCACATTATCGCTCTATGGAGTTAAATAAAGCCAGATCATCAAGCATGCAAAGCTCTCATGATATACAGTGGTCAAAGTGGTCTGTATCGAGTGGTGTGAAAGAGGTCATCTGACCTCATCCGAGGGCCTACCATGAAGCTGCCCTTCACCTTTTATGCCCCTTACCCATTTCTCACATCATCCCCAGCAGCGGCTAACAATAGTCCTTTCTATTAATAAAAGTCACAATCATTCGTTCATTCATTCATTCATTCATTCATTCGTTCGTTTTGATGTAGAAGTCAGACAAAGGAAATTTGAATTCCGCAGCGTCACGCATCACATTTCAGTGCAAAATACAACTACGATGGTGATTTTAACCGAATTTAAATTAACATTTAAAATTCATGAATCTATTCTGAATCTTTTCACTTTAGTATCCCTTTAAGCTTTTCAAAACTCTATCATATTCACCATATGTTCTTCTTTGTATGTGTGTGGTTGATTCATGCATTTACGGCATCACATATGCAGCGCGTAATAATAGGCCAAATAATGGCGGTTGCATTCATATGTTCGCCTGGCAAAGAACTCAATTACTATGATGTGGGAGGGGTAGAAATGATAAAAATGGCTACGCCTTTCGTTCGTAAGTGGCCAATGTCTTTGGCCTGTTCGATTTACTAGCAATATGTCCTCATTGGGAGTGCTTGATAATTTTGCCAGCAGGCAATTCCAGCTTAACCCTTTCTTCTGGTAGTGGGCCCACCTTTTTAGCTCAATTTGCTAACAAGTGCACCACCTTATTTAGCCATTCGACCTTTTTCCCGACAAATGCTCTGACGCACAAAAGCCATCGGACATAAGGCAATATGTGGGAGGGGGTGTTGGTGGAAGCCAGCTATTTACGCGGAAGCTAACCATTACGCGAAAGCCAGCTATTTGTTATCCGCTTTACAATTTACCTATCAATACAGGTCAACGCCCTGACATGAGTTTATGTCGCAATTCTGTTTTTTTATTCTCATGCAGATTATAGGAAAAAATTTGCTACTCATCCAAAGCCGTTCAATTTATTTTAGACATGATTTTCCCATGTGCGTTCAGTCTTGCCTAATTGGACGTCGTCATCATGTATATAAACGTGAAATAATGTATTTCAATAAGAAAAGAAAGGTACGTATCACCCTACTTGGTAAGTTTATATTTGAAAAAAAAAAAACTCTGGCTCAAAAATATCGCGTCGCGTTATTTATGTTGCAATGAGTAGCTAACAGCCCATTGACCGTGGCTGGAAAGCTCATTTGTTCGAGCGTGTGGTGTTAATGTGGAGACGGTTTTGCAGCAACTGCTCGAAGTTTTGGTTTCAGAGAGAGCCGGGTGAGACAGGATTCAAAGGAATTCTCATGTAAACATAGCTGGCCACCTGAGCATACAAATCCGCTTGAACACGAAGTTTGTCCTCGTTTTCAGCAAAGGCTTCCTGGTTGGAACTGTAGTACCTCCTGAAACCGTGCAAGCGCAAATAGAGCTGAAGAAGGCAAGGTTCTGTAACGGCACCTTGCGTAAGCATACGGTTACGTGTTGTGGACCACAGACGATGGAGACTGTTTATGAGATGTGTGCTAAACATCCTGCTCGCCGAAGGTCAGAACAGAAAGTTCCAGAATAGGGCCCGAACATTTCGTTGCATTCGTGGTAGTAGCCATGCACTCGCTTCAGAATATGCGACCGTTTCCTAATATTACTCAGCGCTGTTTCAGTACCATTCAACCGTCTGGTGATGTGCAAAATGTCACCAGCTGGCATTGTGGAACGTGTGTCTTGAAATGTTCGTACGCGAATATAGCTAAGGCTTCAACATAACATCGTCCGGCAAATAGCGAATATTACAGAAAAACCGCACGCTCTCCTAAGTCAGGAGCAAAACAAAACTGTGTAGCGGGGCGTTGAACACAATAAAGAGCAGATAGTAAAGGTCGTTGTTCAAGTAGCATTTAATGTGCCCGAGTGTCTTGCATAGTTTTCTGGCATGTTCATTACTCTTCTGGCATGTTCAACGTCATTACCAGTGGTTGCCACGGAAAAGTCATAACTGAAATCGCGGTGAATTTCATACATACCTTGTGGGTTTCGAATGGGTGCAATAAAGTTTTTTTTTGTGAATATAGTCATTGTGGCATTTTTTTTTCCAAAGCTTGATGTGGGACGTTGCTCATTTTTAGGAGCTTACACTGACGAATACAAGCGATTCCTTTGTGGTAGATCAGTGCTACATTGGTTGTGCTGTGGCGGAAGGGACCAGCCGTTCCGAAAACTTGCCACTGTGACGTCACTGACAGTAGGTTTTGTAACTACTTATACAATAATAAAGTCACCCTGGTGAACAAGTATACTTCCTTGCGTGTATAGGCGTTTTTACTGCCATAAGTGGCGGCAGTAAAGAGAAATACGACTGCCTCGGAAAAAGATCGATTTATGTCCGCGATACACAGCTGTGGTTTTGAGGAGCGGCGGCCAACAACTGCCGTAGCCCACCCAGTGGTGACGTGAGAGAAACACCTATAGTTGTGCCTATCTTTACGCGTAATTGAGGTCCCAGTTCTGAAATTTCCGAGACAACGTGAGTCATTACAACAAAGTGTGCTTCATAGAGCACGATGGCTTTGAGACCGTCTCGAGTTCGCGGCGCTATAGATACTATTTGCAGTAAAAGCTCACAATTCGGTGACGTAGCAGTACTTGCGAGCAAAGTGATGTTGTATGTGACACGGCGGCTTTTCAACGTTGCGCGATTTCACGGCTTTTGCTTATAATAGCGTCAACAGTGGGGTTATTTTTTAGTACAAGCAAAGAAGATGCATCGAACGCAATCGTTTTGTGCACTGGAACCACTTCATCTTCTTCAGCTATGTGGCAAGCTATGTTGCCTGGAGACAGAACTGTTTCAACGAATGTTGCGAAGGGATCTGCAGAAGGTTGTACGCAAGTCGTGACAGCCTTTTCTGGCCACAGCATAGTGCCCGAACGAATAGCCACATAGGACGTGGAGCTTTCTGTTGAAAATGGCCAGGCAGGTCAACACGCTCTCATGTGTCTGACACCATAATCATGGGATGATGCCAATATAAGATATGCCTTTTGCGAGTATATTTGTTTGGCACCACCTCACATTGGTGCTGATGCAACTAATGCGCTTCATGGATTCTTCAATATTCATTTTACCACGCCGGAAATCTTGTCAAGATAGTGACGGATAACAACTGGAACGGTTCCTGAAATTTCACGTGCCTCATAAGTTGAAGATTCAGCTTATTCGATGCGTAAAGTACAAAGTGCCAGGTTTGCAACCATCGCATTGCTCTGTGGTGGGAACGGGGTTCAACATCTCCACCGAAATGTCACCATCTGAGAAACGTAGAACGATCACACTGTATTTTAAGGAAAAGTGTTGCCAGATGTTGGAGCGAATATTTTCTTATGTGTTTGTCTGTCTCTTGGTAACCTATTTCACACGAAGTGCCCAAACACTGCCTCTTACTCACGGCTGCCACATGGTCTCTTAGACTATGGTCCACCGCATCGCTACAATGTCAGGAACACAGATGCATGACATCGGCTTTAGAAGCACACAAGCGAGCGTTAACAAACCACACTCTGAGAGGAATCACGAAGCTCTCATTGTAAATTTGTAAACCATTCGTATAAGGAGTTGCGCGCTGACACACAGAGTAAAGAGAAAATTAAGGTAGGGTGCAACACCGCAGCGTCGATCAAATGTTAGTAACCAATTCAGTTTTAGAAAATAATGTAACCTTCGCGGACACTTTCTGTTCTCTGGATAAATAGTGGTGTGAATACTTTTCAGTTGTCATCATTACAGCATCATCCTGTGCTTCGATTTTGATTGCCCTACTGCAGCTCCTCTGTATGGATGACATTGTTTTCTTTGATAACTAAACTATTGTATCTGACAAATAAAAAGAACCCTTCAATTGATTTTTTATAATTTTTGTTGTGACACTCCTTTCACAGGTTCAAATGATACATGGACCGAAAATAGAACGGTAAGAATACCATGTATACAATTATGTGGTCTGAAATTATTTCCGTCTATTATATCACATTGATTAGCATTTGTACCGCGGAGTAAGTTATGTCTTGGAAAAATTGTGTTGTACTTATCCAAGTGATGAGTGTTAAGTGATTCTCAGACTAACGACTCAGCGACTGTCTGGCTGAGATAACTCAGAATCAAATCTTCGCTCGCTGCAATGTACAGTGGGATTACTCTTGAATGCTAAAATGTTGGCTCTGTATCTGCATGTTTCACTGCAAATGTCGTCGAAAGACGATAGTCTTGTGTGTGGACAGAGTGAACAACACATTTATTTAATGTTCTGCGCGAGAAAATTGGTGAATATTATTCAGGAGGCGCTGCGTTAGAGTGCCTCGATCCGTGCAGCGAAGGCGAACGAGCTCACCGAGGCACGTTAAGCATCAGCACTATCTGGCAGTTATCTTCGAAAACGAAGCAAGGCGTGCGCACCTGTCTCGGAGGCGATAAGGTGTAGAACGCAAAGCGATGGGCAGGTGACACCACCGTGTCGTCTTAGCAAAGCGTTGGAAACACTTGCCTTTTTGTGAATAGCATTGCATTGTTAGCGCAGCGTGATAAACGCTGCGGTCCTTAGAATTACTTATGTATTTCATCTCTAGTGTAAGGACACAAATACAGATTATTGAAGTGCTGCTATTGTGACTCGGATATGCGCAATAATTCTTTTAATTGACAATTTCACTAGTATGAACGCTATAACTTGAGCAATATTGGTGGGCGCTGTGAACGGGGCTGGATTTTGACCGTTGGGGATATCCTTTCGCTGGACAAACAGACAAGTGTTCAGACAGACTGAAATTTGCGTCAAAGTACCCCAAGAAATACTATCGTCTTTAATGTAAGTGACAGGCACTGACTTGTGGCTTTAGTTGTGCACACCTAATTTTCTCATGATGGGGTTTCGCTTGCGAATGTATACGTATAAGAATGCGCGCTTTTTCATACATGCAGGTAAAATTTCACAACAGGCGGATTTCTATTGCTTGACAAATATCAACGAGAAGGTAGCTGAAACACATTTACTTATGAACGAATAAGCTTATTCTTATGACGAGCTTGAAGCTAACAGAATAATGAAATTATGCATGCTTTGTAAAAAAAGGTCACATGCTGCAACACACGTATAGAAAAAAAAATCAATCGACATTATACTTTGCACAAGTATGTAATTAGCACATAACAATATCGTTAGCACACAAGATAACCATTTCGCGAACATATATATTGAGCCTGCTCACTCAAGGTGTCATCACAATCCCTGTGGTGTCTTGTAAGTTACCAAAAAATGCATGGACGACAGCTCTGTAGTCACAGTTCTGCAAAAATCACAGTATGCATTTAGAACGTCATAAGCAACAGTAACGTAATTAATATTAAAATCGTACAACTTATATATTACATTTGCTTCCAGAAAGGCCTACTTGCGTGTCCTCCGAAGGGAAGTAGACGACAGACCAATCCTTGTTGTTGATGCTTTCATGGGTGACTATTTGCATGTTATTGGTAACTCTTTGCAATGTTCAGATGTAGGAAATGTTACAAGAGATGTAGATCGTAGCGAGATGTGCATTGAGGCAGTGCATTTAAACAGCACAGCTACATAAGCCGGGTCTGCTGTGTTTCCTAAAATCCAAAACTACTATTATGATGAACCGAAATCCGCTCTTGTCTACCTCTTTTTCGTCTTGCGCTACTCTCCTGTAACACGCTGATAAATTTCTCCGATGGGTAATGCGTTTACTATGCAACGAGTACAGTGAGATTGAGAGATATACAAAAACAAAAAAAACTAATAGGAAAGATAGAGGACACACTTAAATATACACAAAAAGAAATAGAGAAAGCAGACAGGAAGCATAGACGTATCCACGGCATTGTATAGCAAGCGGTCGCAAAGGGAAGTGCGAGTGAGGAAAGAGGGAAGTGATGAGTGGAGAGGGTAAAGTACCAAACAGTCTTATGCTGTAGTATAGGAAGGAAAGGCAACTGAGGCGAGGAGAAAAGAAATGAGAGGCTAAACTATGGCCCAGTCTTGTGTTCTACAGAGTAGCTAGGTGGCAAGGTGATTCATTGAATCACCTTGCCAAGAAAACGAAAACTGAGTCACCTTGGCAAGGTGATTCAGTTTGGTCATTTATGCTCTTGGCAAGGTGCCTCAAAAAGCTAATGCTAGTGCAGCACACGATATTGTAAATAACCTGTTTTGGTTTAAAATAGAAGACTAAATCAGAAATATTTGTGACCGCAAGCATGAAATCATTATTAGTGAGTCGATACAGATTGATTTAGATAGGATAAAGGCTTTGGAGCGTTATGCAAGCAGTGAGAACTTGTAGCATAGAAAATACTACACTGCAGACAATATTTTCCATTGATTAGGTAAAAAGGTGTAGGTAACTTGCTGCCAACCACTTCTGTAAAAAGAAAATAGTAGACCAGAGGTCACATAGAACACGCGGAACGTACAGCCCGTTCAACTCCGTAATGAAGAAATCAAGCAACGGCTGTTACAGAACACCAGCTGCTCCGTATGGCCATTTCCTACACTTTATTCATTATACTAATGCTACATGTCCGTAAATAACAAACGTGTTTCCATTAGATTTAACTTGAGACATGCGTAGTAAGCAGATTTATCTTCTGCAAGTACAAAGCCATCCAAAATTTCCCAGGCCACTATTTCAGCAAATCCTGTGGCAGTGTCACCTGGGAAGTTATGACTGCACCTGCACATGCTAAAAAATTTACAAAGTGTATTCAAACGTTCAAAAACCAACAAGGACGCGTTTTTTCTTCACTGAAATCGAGTTTATTTTCCTGTGATAAGAAAACATAATACAGCACGAACATACTACAAGTCGTGTGAACAAAAATTGTCAAAAATTGATTTCATTTCGGCATTTTTGTATCTGGAATTTATAATACGAAGACGGAATATCTTAACTTCCACATACCTATAGCACCTCTGTTGTTTTCCCACTGTAACAGTATTGTGCAGGCGTCTTTTCTGAAAAAGGAAAAAAAGTTTTGTAAGCACTACCACACCAGGTGAGCAGAGAGCAAAAAACACCGGGATGACTATTATTTAACTTATTTCAAGACTCCTAACAGGCCTTCTTAGAGGCACTGGGTTGCAGCACAAAAATGAATGATCGAACATATTAAATATAAATACATATAGTACAAAATGAAATGGCTGAAAGCACACATAACTTCATAAAGACCAAAATATTGGCTAGCAATATTAGTAGAGGCAAAAAGAGCAAAGGAGTAACTCAACGTATTACATAATACAACGATTATGTAATGCCAAATTATCCAGCCTTTTTTCAACCATCACGAATATGGCAGAAAAAATTTTCACATGTTTGTCGAAGTGCGAAACTCGTCCAAGTCATTCAATTCCGTTGCCAAAAACTTTCCTCTCTATTTATGAGAGTGTGCAGTATGGCGCCAAGTGAGGTATTAGTCGTCAAACAATTTTTTCAAAAGATGTTTTAGAATGCACTCAGTAAATGGCATTTCCGGCAAGGTAATGAAGTGATCTAACTAAAACTAATGACTTACTTCAGTATATAAATTCTTTGAGAGCTTTTCTCATGAGCAATATTGAATATTGTTGCAAAGTTTGAGCTTTCTTTCTGTGAAGATGGCGAATTCTGAGGACACTAATAAAATATGTGCTGGTGAACAGTTTGACATGCTACAAATTTAAAATAATTTACCCACTGAAGTTTTGAAGATAGTCTGAAAAAATTGTGAATTTCACTTTTTGGGGAAAAGCTTTGTATTCAGCATCAAGAAGCTTGTCTTGGTGGCCGGACAGAAATTGCACATTTCATTTTAAAGCTTCATGTACTAGCGAAATGTAGGTGAACTTTTAAAGAGTATTATTTTTTTACCTCGAGAAGTATTTTTTTGAAATTATGTATCTCCACCAGATTTAGGCGTAATTACCTCAAGCGGCATGGAGCACTCACAAGGGCAATTTTCAGCAGAATCCCACAGACCTGAGGTGCAACAATTGAAGTTGGAACGGGGCTATCATCTGCGTTCGATTGCCAACAGAGGTGCGCTACAATGAATGTGGCCAGAGTGAGGAGACCAGTAGCGTAGCAAATATATATATATATATATATATATATATATATATATATATATATATATATATATAGATGGCGCTGACTGTCGCTCCTACTTCTAAATTCACAGATAAACCCAAAAAAGTGGATGGAGGGAGTGCCGCTGTAATAGCTCAGTGGTTAGAGCATCGAACGCGTAATTCGAAGGTCGTAGGTTCGATTCCTGCTTACAGTTGGTAATTTTTTCATCCACTTTTCTTTCTTCTTATTTACATTCCATTAATGTTAATAACTTCCCCTGTACATTCCTTGGCATTACTGTCTGTTATATCTCATTATTATTGTGTTAAAAACACGGAAAAACGAGCCCTTAGGTATACACTTCTTTCCCTTATTTCATTGAACGAGGGTCTCGTACTGGCAGACTTGGTGTGTTTAGGTTGTATAAGAGGGACAATTAATCAGCTGCCCGCTCATAATAAGTTCACGTGCTACGTGACGCCAAACATGCGCATAAGAGTGTTTTCACACTCGTTGTTTGGCTTATAGATGGCGCTGACTGTCGCTCCTACTTCTAAATTCACAGATAACCCAAAAAGTGGATGGAGGGAGTGCCGCTGTAATAGCTCAGTGGTTAGAGCATCGAACGCGTAATTCGAAAATCGTAGGTTCGATTCCTGCTTACAGTTGGTAATTTTTTCATCCACTTTTCTTTCTTCTTATTTACATTCCATTAATGTTAATAACTTCCCCTGTACATTCCTTGGCATTACTGTCTGTTATATCTCATTATTATTGTGTTAAAAACACGGAAAAACGAGCCCTTAGGTATACACTTCTTTCCTTATTTCATTGAACGAGGGTCTCGTACTGGCAGACTTGGTGTGTTTAGGTTGTATAAGAGGGACAATTAATCAGCTGCCCGCTCATAATAAGTTCACGTGCTACGTGACGAAGTGGTAATTTTTTCATCCACTTTCTTTCTTCGTATTTACATTCCATTAATGTAATAACTTCCCCTGTACATTTCCTTGGCCTTACTGTCTGTTATTCTCATTATATTTTGTTTAAGAAAACAAGGAAAAAACGAGCCCTTAGGTATACACTTCTTCCCTTATATATATATATATATATATATATTATCAATATATGATATATATATCATATTAATATATAGATATATATACATGTACTATTCGTAGGGTGTAGTGTGTGAGTGGAAGGTGACTTTGGTCATACTGTATATACATTCATGTGTGTTTGTACGTGTGCACGTAGATATGCACCTGCAAAACTAAAAAAATCACAGCATACCCACGAAGTGAGTGATGATGTGTGGGGCGAAGCTTCAGGGGGTTTCATCAGCAAACCGTTAATCCATCTGCCTCTCTATCACTCACACTAGCACCTTCTGCTGAGACATCCATAAAGTAGGCAGTCACAAACCCGTCACAGCAGAAGGACAAACCGATGGCTTTAAGATAAAAAATACCTAGATTGCGCTGGGCGGGCGGGGGGGGGGGGGAGAGTTAAGCAGCTCTTTTTGCCTTTCTTGCCACGCCACTAGTAATGACTCCCAGATGAGCCATCAAGCCGTTAAAAAGTATACAGTACACAATAATCTCTTATGCACAACGTAACCGAGACTATCAGCTTGGCTACCAGTTCTTAATTTAAAAATTATTTTTCGTTTCTGTATTCATATGACGGGCTTTGGGCCTCGGGAAGCAAGGTGCTTTCCTGAAAGCCAGAAAAATAGGGAACGTTTGTTTTGAGATAGCGTTTATGAGTGTACTGCATCAAAGCTACTAGCATGTTATAAGACATATGTACTGATTATGATAAATATTGTTAATAACTGTATAAAACACACCTACTGCATTTGCAGAACTCCCAAAGAAAGTGGATTTCAATATCTTTAAATCTGAGCACACGGGCCTACAAAATTTCTGCCTCCATCGAAAATGCAGCCGCCGCAACCGGGATTCGATCCCCTGACAGGCGAAAAGCTAGGGCAGATACATAAATAAAATTATATATTATTAAATTTAAAAATATTACCTTCTAGTAATTTCACCTATAAAAAGCTTGTACATAGAGCTTTAAAATGAAATATTGTGCATATTTTTAGTCCGAACACCAAGGCAAGTTTTTGATGCTGAATACGGAGCTCTTTCCAAACTAAGTAACACTCACCATTTTTTTTCTCGGAATTTCTGCTATAACAGTGGTTCTCAAATAAATTCTATGATTTCTATGATCCGAAAAACCCTCATCCGGTTCAGTTTTACATATTTTTTAAAAAAAATACATATGCAACTCTTTTTAAGCGGGACTCTGCCATGTATTGATGAGCTGTCCAAAATGAAGTGATGTGGCACGTTTGTTTGATGTTTTCGG